TTTATTTTTATAAAAATACGCAAATTAATTTAAATACTGTAAATATTTTTTTTAACAACCAATTTTTGTTGACTTTTATTAGATTTAAGTAGAATTTATTAAATTAAAAATGTGTTAGTTCATTTTCAGTCCCAACGTGTTATATTATAGTATGTAATTACACACCGCCGCGGCGCGCCGACACCTTGTGCAGTGCGATGTCTAGAGGTTACAATATCAGCTTGATTGTAGTGGGCCTAGCGCGTGAAAACTTGCTCACTCACCTGAAAATGACAAAAAAGATGTTATTTTACGCTTCAGACGTGTCAAGGGGGTTTAGATTTGAGGAGAATTTGATGACGAGCAGTGGCGAAGTGTAAAGGGGGAACACTTTCTCCCATAATATTATACTGGGTGTTAAGAAATAATGGGTAATTGAGCGTAATAAATCAGTCACCTTTAAAATACCAAACCTAAAAATTACATTCAATACTTGTTTATGTGTTATTTGTTTTAAATATGATGTTTTGGCTAAAGGAGACAAAAACTATACAAAATATTTTTTTACTAAAACATTCATAATAAATAAAATATTTATTAAATACCTACATATTGTGTACATTTATAAACATATAAGAACAGGTTTTATGGATTTTTGTCAACATTTTTTAAATATGTAGGTATATGTCCATTTTTTATCACTTGACATTTAATATTATTGGACAAAACTACTAGTTTCGTACCCCGGTACCCTGGACAAGTAATCCCAGACCTGTTCTATGTCACCTTCTCTTAGAACTTCTCTTATATATTATTATTAATATTATACAAATAAAATCAGGGCCTAACTAGGCTCGCATTTGCTGAACAATGGGCTATATGATAAGATCATACTCTATAGAGTTAACCAATCAACGCGTTCGAACGTTTCAAAAATTATGCCTTGCAAGGAGGAAGAGAAATGTTTTGAAATATTTTACGTCCTTGCATAGCACCACTTTTCTAAACCTAGCAAGTCAATGCTGTTCTCCCCCATTTGCCCTATTCTTTTTCGTGTAAAATATATTGTCAATAGAATTTATTGAAACAATGGGCATCACAGATGTTATTGACAAATGTTTTTCTGTTTAATTATTTTCACTTGGGTATGTTGGGCGGAATAAATTTAACGTCTTTTTAAGCTTTTTTCTAGATTTAACAATATTTGACGATACAATAAAAAAATTAAAAAGTGCAAAATTGTACAGGTTTTTTATTTAAAATGTATATTTGATAAGAAAATTTAGTAACGTTTATATGTTAGTAGGGGAGACGGGGGCTTGTTGTCGCAGGGGTAAGTTGTCGTATTCGCCATATTTTAAAAATTTGACAAGTTTGGTGCACAAAACCGATAAAGACTGCTACTTAAATAGCAGATATGCCAGCTCCACAGATGGCATTGTTTCAAACTGCCTGTAATTTTTTTTTTATTGTACTACATTGTGAACTTTAAGGTAGGAAAAATGTAATCATAAATATAGGTCATATGCTAATGCTGTTGTATTATAGTTTTTAACATTTATTTGGGAAATAATTCAACATTTCTAAAAAATAGCCGATTGAGGCCAGAGCCAGAAGTAAACTTATTACATTATGTAGAAATAGCCTCTTTCAGCAACCAGAGCCAGACCCAACTCCTTCTACATAATCTGATTTAATATCGCTGGAAGAAATTCGGCCCTTACCAAAAGCTGGAGAAAGAAAGGAAACAAAATGTAGTAGAAGAAAAAGGAAATCCACCATCTTAACATATACACCAGTCAAAGACGATTTAGCGGCTTTAAAATCAAAAGAAGTGCACCACGACAACTTCCCCACGATGGGGCATGCATGTTGTCGCATTTGTCCTAAAACGAAAAAAAAACATAATTCTTAGCACGCTTATTTTATATTAATATAGTTCCCAATATACTATGGTAGAATACAGTATCCAGTTTTCTATGTAATGTAAAAAAATACTTGAAAAAATAATTTAAAATGGATTTTGCGACAACATGCCCCTACGTCCTAAAACTTTTATAAATTCAACTTGTATTTTTTTTATTACTGCCTACTTAAATATTTTGCACAAAAATGCGAAAGATTTTATCTAAAATGTATATACAGCCCGTTCAGAATAAAACCGAATATATCTATGTATATATATGGGGCGTGGCCTCGCCTCCCTCCAAGGCGCGTCACAGTAGCTTGTGTGATAAACGACATGACGAAAGGTCGAACAGGTAAGGACTTAAAAAATTAAATGATAATAATGCAAAAAATCTCATTAGCGATGCAGTCTATTTGCTTAGCTACTGTGTCGCGCGTTGGAGGGAGGCGAGGCCACGCCCCATATATATATATAGATATATTCGGTTTTAGTCTGAACTGGCTGTATATATATATATACAATTTTATAAGATTATTATAATAACTAAGCATTTTAGGAATTATGCGAAATGCCTTAGTTCTTAGTTATTATGCATAATAACTAGATATTTCAGTTAATATCCATTATGGGCGGGGCAAATCAATTTATTGCAATGCATTGATACCATTTCTGAATCTCTTATACTTTTTATCCGACGATTTAATCAAAATGAAATATAATTTCGTCTGGTACTATGCAAGGTTACCAAAGGTGCAATTGTACTAAGTTCTACAAAACCACACTTGTCGTTAAATAGAGATTATGCAATTGTAACAGTTACAATAAAATATATCAAAATTTCAGTCTAATCAAATTGTCGTGAAATGACCCATATACCAAAGTACTCTGAGTACTGTACTCATATTGGCTTCAATCCTATAATGCCCTGGCTATGTAGACCATGGCCCTGGCAGCAGAAACACTACTCTATGGCCCTGGCTTGAAAATAAATAATCTTTTACATTTTAAAATATATTTTTGCATTTATACATATAATAGATTGTTATCATTTTATAGTAAATATTGTAGAATGTAATTTTTGTTTAAATAAATAGATTTTTGAATATCTTTATTTTGCCCACATCACCCCTAATAAAGTGACTAGAAAATATGAATAATGGCTAAATGTATTATCATAATTTCTGAGCTACTTAAAAATCTTAACTCAAAGGCAGTTTGAGATAGATTTTTTCTGGCCTGCAGAAAGATAAAGCGATCTTGATTTGCCGTTGTAAGCCTTTCTCGACCTGAATATCTTTTATTTACACTGTAAGTCAGTATCTCGATAGCATTAACACAATCTGCTTATCACACTTTGTGATGTTTCTAGGCAAGCGGCAACTGCTTTTTGGGTTGCTCCCGTTTCAATCATCCCAACAGCTCTTAACATCTTTTCATTGGTTGTCTTCTCGCCATGAATTCGCTAACTTAAGTGATTATTTTTATCAGCAGACTTTGCTAAGTAGAGTATACGTTTTCTGGCGTTAAGTAACACCTTTAAATTACGTACTTAAACTAAGTTGTACTAATATAGTTAAATATTTTTATTTCAAAGGATTAAAAAACAAATTATTATTTTATCAAATGATTAAACAAGATGTGAGAATATCATACAAAAATTGAGAATTTTTTGAATAATAATATTGGCAAATTTTTACAATTTGTTAAAAAAAAATGGTTCACAACGCGTTTTGGGTTCTTTAAATCATCCGCAACGCAAAATTCGTGTTGTGATACTAAAAAATAACCAAAACACGTTGTTAATTAAAATCACACCCAAATGGTTTCAGAAAAAATTAAACAATGTTTAATAATATGTCATATCACAAAGTATTTATATAAAAATACTAATAATAAAGTACATTCTAAAAACTCAAACCAATTCTGCTAAGCAATTCTGGGCAATCTAAAAGTTTATACAAAAAATGCATATCAAAATTATGCCTTCTCTTACTCAGCAAATCAATGTTAACCAAGTTTCTCAATTGTTGATAATTAATGTCTTCCATTATTAAATTGAGTTTAAATGCACAAAATCTTAAAAATTTATTTTGCACTTTTTCGATTTGCATACAATATGTGGCGTAGTAAGGTGACCATATTACACAACCACACAGAAAAAACTCTATCGTACAGTCAATATCAGTCTTATTTTTGGGTGCGTTTACTTTGTTTCAAGCACAGGAATGTTCTTGTTAATTAAAAATAATTGCCGCAAGTTTAAATCTAAAATTGTGGTAAATATAAAGTTATTATTGGCTTTTTAATATAACTAAGTTTTTTTTGAAATAAAACGTTTAGTTTATTCAATAACAAGACAATCATTGAAAACTAATAAAATACTATTATGTTTTCAACCAAAAGAATATTTTAATGAATATTACACTTTGTTTAAATAATAAATATACTTATTGTTGCTTCCAATTTTTTATTTTAAAAATTAGTATATTTTAGACAAATAATCATATTATTCCGTTAAAATATAATGTATCAATACAATCAACAACTTTTTTCTAACCATCAGAAGAATCATTGACTCAACACTAATGTATATTATAACCAAACAATATATTATTAGCCGAATATTAAAGGGTTTAAATAAACTGTATATAATATTAATCCAATGAAAGTTATTGTTGACCCAAACGTATTGTTTTTATAACACGCAAAATTAGGGAGGGGAGCATAACGAAGACGCCGTTCTTCAGCCATTAGTGTCAAACGCGTGTTGTTTTACAATCGTTTTGTGCTTTAAGTATTTCTTTATAATGGAACATGTGCTGAAAAGTTGGGGTTTGGAAGATCTCATTCCCGTGTTTAATGGTAAGTACATTTATTGATTATTTTATTGAGTAGGTACCCACCTATAATTGTTTGCATGTAAGATTTAATTTAGGTGGGTCCGAATACTGGCGATTGTGGCGTAGTAAAATAAAACGAGAAACCCTTAGATTTTCCGTTTATAACTACTTTAAAAAACTTTAACTTTATTGCATGCCGTTTAATTAAACCTTTTTTATGGAGAAAACCAGATAGGTATGTAGACCAAATTCCCAAAGAAATAACTTATTTGCCACCATACACTTTGGAATTTCATTAAATGCAGTGAGGAGATCTATTAAACAATCCGTAGTTTATTAAGATCCAAATTGTTTAAAAACGTTCTTAAAATATACTTTAAATAAAGTAATATTTAAATCTAGGGAAAGCAGGGAACTAAGCATTTTAAGGTTGGTAGAGTAACTGACGTAGGATGCCGAGCGCTTTGCCGAGCCTTGGCGTAGATTGCCGAGAAAAATAGGGAAGGGGAAGATAAATGCAATGGAGAACGAGGGCGTTTTCCTAAAAAAGTGTTTGAAAAGTGAGATAATTTACAGGTCTGTACATTTTAATTACAAAATTATTGTGGCACAAACAGTCCCGGACAATTTGGTATAATTACTTTGACGAAATGTATTGAAGAAAAGTAAATATTCGATTAATTGACTTGTCGTCATCGATCTATATATTCCGCCGTGATGGCTGCCCTTTTATAAATCGAAATTAAGTTTGAACGATCTCGCATTAAGTTAAATTCTAAATAGGTAATAAACATTATGAATCTAAATGTTAATGTCAGGGTTGTACTGGTTTTTATTTGATTATTTTAATGCATAATTCGTGAAATTTTACATAAACGCTGCGTAAAATAAATGGATTTGATATTGATTTTCTTGAATATGGGATCTATTTAGCTTTGCAAACAGATTCACAAGTATGTCCCGTAATTAGTTGGGATTTTTACCAGTCATATTTAATTATTTGGTAATACATTTGGAGTGAGTAGCAACGGCAATTGTGTGATGACGACATTTAATTTATGGCCGCTGGCCGCGTAGAAAAATAATATAAGAATGGCGACCTCTTTATTAAAACCTTCTAAGATTAAAACGGTGGGTAAAAGGCATATATTAACCTAGTTTACTAAAAAATATTTCTCAGCTCTTTATTTCGTGTTTTCAACCCCTCTTTTTTTCTTTATAAGATAGTTCATAATATTTTTAATTAGGTTAATCAAAATGTATACATAAAATATATGTACCTATACATTTTGATTAACCTATTTCAAAATATATTTTTATTTTAATTGATTTTATTTTAACTTAATATTTTATTATTTTTAGTCGACTTACTCATGATCAATATAATATAATATGTGCCAAAATTCTGAACTTGTTCCCAAATGAAATAGCCCAAACGTTTTACTATTCAGGTGAAAGAATTAACAATTTGGCAGTACAGGCCAAAGGTAAATTAGTCTATAAAGCTCACAATATTTTGTACCATAGTCCTGACAAATTGTACGTAAGAAAAAGAAAGAATTGTAGTGTACTTGAGGATATTAATAAAAAGAAAATTAGGAAGGACACTGAAGGTAACTTATGCTTTAATTCAATTTATCTTAAGGCAGTTCTCAGCCTAAAAAAATCTTTTAAAAATTATTATTTGACATTATTTTCTAGTTTAAATTGTCTTTAAAATGATATGTTACAACCTATATTTTTTTCTTGGTTTTAAGGTTTCCGCGGGTGTTATATGCTGCAGTTGGTTTTTGGGAATTTCTCCGTGTTACTACTTGTTGGTATCGTGAAGGACCGGTGTAGTTGTTTTGACGATTTCGGCAAAATCCTATTTGTCATTTTCAAGTCTTTTTGGATAACTTTCTGCTTGTACTTCTAGTTGGCGAAAAAACTATACTTACCGGTCCTTCACGAGACCAACAAGTAGTAACGTGGAGAAATTCCTGAAAACTAACTACAGCATATAATATATATTATATATAAATATATATATTTGTGTGTGTGTAATGCATATTATAATGTACTATTTTTTTAGATGAAAAGAATGCTGTGATTTGGCTCAAACATAACAGAGAACCATGGGAAGATGTTTTTAAAAATTGGAAACTAACTTATAATTTAAGATCAGGCGCTACAAATTTTAATTCAGTGGTAGAGTTCCTTAGAGAATGGCCGATTATTTCGGATCCAAGGGCAGATTCTTTGGTATGTATAATAAAAAAAGATAATTTTATATATATCATATATTTTGTTGGTATTTTCATACCAATAATTTATTATGTTTGTGAATTTAATTTGGATTGATCAAGTTTACATTTGCATTGCAGATTGAATCAGACTTTGCAGTAATGCACCCTGGAAAAGATTTAATGTTTAAATTTTTGTTGTCGTATAATTCATTTTGTAATTTATAGAATTTATTTTTTATTAATTATTAACTAAAAATAAAAAAGTTTAATAGAGGTATTGTTTTATTTCCGACCTTTCTCTACAGTTTATTTAATCATATTGCTACTATTCAATTGAAGAAAATTTCATTTGCTTCATTAAAAGCTTTTTTTAAACTTTAATTCAATTATAAATAGCTATATATTAATTTATATAGCTATTTATAATTGAACTTAAATTTAATAAAAAGCTTTTAATGAAGCAAATACTATTTTTTTTAATTGACTAATAATAGCAATATAATTAAATAAAATTTAGAGAAAGGTCAAATCAAAAATAGTTTCAATAATCAAGAATATATAATATAATTATATGTATATAAATATACAGTTGATTGAAATATTTCTTAAAATTTAATTAATTACATAAATTAATCGATTTAATCTTTTTCTTAGTTTCCTTTTAACAATAGCTACTATTTATTTTATAAATGAATTTGTTGTAGAATAATTATAATATAATAACAGCAATATTTATTAATATTGCAATAAAGATAAGTTAATTTTCATGCAAGGAAACTAATGTTTAAACCAATAACAGACTATTGTTGGCATCCAATCATAACAAAAATTAAATGCTTTAACAAGTTTTCAATGATTGCCTATTGTTAAAATAATCAGAAAGTATATTCCTTTTTCAAAGACATAACTATTATTGAGTAAAATTTAACTATGTTCTAGGAATACGGAATAGAGTGTATCATTGAATAAAAGTTATTATGTTTGATGATACGATAGATTTTTTTCTGTGCATACTCTAAAATACTACCGACAAAGGAGACGTATACATTCTTTACACATATTACATTCAAATCTTAACAAAACCTAACATTTTTAGAGCTCTACTAGTTATGACATTTATGTGTTCGTTAAATGTAATTTTTTTATCAAAAAGTACACCCAGATCCTAAGGACATTAACATTTTCCAATAACACTTTATCAATATTGTAAGGATAATTATTTCTATTTTTTATTCTGTGGAAATTTATAACTTTACATTTATTTATATTTAAAGACACACAATTTTTATTGCACCAGGATTCTAAACTCTTAATGTCAGTTTGAATTTTTTCGCAATCGCAATATCATTAATAAAGCAATTAAAAAGCAGTGGAGATAGATGACCACCCTGTGGTACCCCAGACGATACAGCTTTTTTAAATTATTTAAAACGGTTATTAATTAATCCAGTTTGAGTCCTGTTATTCAAAAAACTTGTTAACCATTTATGCATGTTTCCACCAATCCCCAAGGATAATAACTTGTTTAGCAAGATTTTATGATTTATCCTATCGAATGCTTTCGAAAAATCTGTATAAATGGCATTAACTTGAACCCTTTTTTCAAAAGCAACCAACAAATCATGTTCGTACAAAACTAACTGTAGATCTGCCCCTGCAAAATCCATGTTGCTGCTCAGTGATGACATTTTTAAATAGTGGTGTTACTTTAGATGTTATTATTTTTTTAAGGAGTTTAGGAATATGTGATTGTCTACAAATTGGTCTATAATTTGTTACATCGGATTTATCACCATTTTTAAATAAAGGTATTATGTAACTTTTTTTTAAAATCACCATTTTTTAATGACAGCCTAAACAACATTGTCAGCGGTTTAGTTAGGGCAAATCTACAGTTTTTCAATATGGAAGCAGGTGTTCCTTTATATGGATCTAATTTAAAAAGTTCATTAAAAACATCACTTTCATTTATATCACAGATTGTTATATCTATAGTTTTATCACAGAAATAATCAGGTATGTTATCACAGTAACTATTGGTGTAAACTGAACCAAAAAAATCAGCAAAGGGGAGTGTTAGAATTTCTTTTCAATAAACTTATGCTTTACTTCCATAAGGCAAATTACACAAAGTATTATAATGATTTGTAACTTTCAGCAAATTTTTGTCCAAAGGAAAAAATGAGTGTTTACTAGTAGGTGCTTTATGTGTTTCACACGATGACATTGAAATCAGCTGCTAAAATTAAAAACCACTGTGATAGGGATGTATTATGTATTAACTAAAATTGATGATGTAACAGTTAACAGATTAACAGTTAATAAAATGTAAATTATTTTTTATTTTAATTATTTCCAATCAAAGAAAAACCATTCAAAACATACAAAATGTAAATTTTTAACATTTATCTATCCATTTCATTCAAGTATTTATCCTTGATATTTGAGCCCTATGGATTTTCTTAAACACCACAACGCGTTGTGTTCCAACGTTGCAACGCGTAGTGCTCAAATATCAAGAGAGACTCGACTTTTTGCTTGTGTTCTTTTTTTATTTAGTCACGTTGTGGCCATTTTCACAAGTGCCACAACCCGAAAATCAATTAGTAGATGATCTAAAATATGCCGTGTTGTGGACGTTCTTTCACACTTTGAGCCTAAAATATACGTACATTCCTTCTTTCGTTTATATATAATAGTTAAATAATGTCATTAAAAAGTTACCTCCATTTAAAATAAAACATTTACCAACCAGTCAATACTGCTATTTTAAATAAAATACCTAGTAGTTAAGTGCATTTTATTTAAACTTTTATTTAAAATTTATTTTAAAATGTACAAATTTTATTGCGTTGAATAATAGTGTTGCTAACTTTTTATATTATATTGCGTAAATTGTTTAATGTCATTACTACTTTCTCTCTAAAAATTAATTAGTCAAAAATGACTAATTTAATAGTTATTAGTGGCTGATTTTTCACTTGTACCATGGTTAACCATGAAATACCATGGTATACTGAGAGAAGGTTTTATTTCAGCGAAAGGCATAAAGTTTGTTTCAAACGTATGACATATTTAAATACGGCAGAATATACCAAGGTTTAATGATAAAAAACCATCACTTTGGCGATTCCGGAAAACTGCTTTTGAACGAAACGCATCTAGATTTGTGTCAAATTTGCTGAGTTTGAATTCTTTGTTGAATACTTTTCTGATAAATTGGTAATTGCTTGCTACTAGTAAAGTCGATTTTGTATAAATCGATGTAGGTTTGCCCTAAACTTACTAATTTTAGGAAAAATTGGTATCTGCTTGTTACCAATTAAGTTCATTTCCATTAAACGGACGTGCATTTCTGAAGAAAATGCGGTTTCTTTGGAAGAAACAGCATAATGTTTAAGAATATTGTATAAATCGTCGGCCTTATCACGAAGTGGCCTAACCCACAAAATTGAAAAACAAAATGAGAGTTTTTGCAGATTAACTTACAATGGTTTATTCTATTATCAAGAAATGTATTTTTATAGTACAGACTTTGTACTATAGGCCACCTCGGAGTAACTTTGGAGTAATAAAATAGACCATCGTAAGTTAACTCTCGCTAAATGTCACTGTTTTCAATTTTGTGGGTTAGGTCACTTCGTGATAAAGCCGACGATTTATACAATATTCTTAAACGTTATGCCGTTTCATCCAAATGTTTGCATGGAAGCCAAATTATTTTGTAAGAACCGTATGTATAAGTGTAGGCAAATTTAAAACATAATAAGACACTGTACGACGTACAGTGTACGTGCACGAGAAGACGCGTTTCAAGAGGCGTTCCCCCACTCCAAAAATTGCCCTTTCCAAACTAAGCACAATTACCCATTAACTTCGATATGTTTGCCACAAACTTATTTTATTTGTTGCAAATGCTGAGCATTTCGCAAAAATGGTAGCAGATTTATAATAAGTTTTATCTATTTCAGTTAACCCATTAATAAATTTTAGTGGAAAATATTGCACGTTTTATGGAAACCTACATAAATTTTATTCAAATGTAAAAAACCCAATCTTAATGGCCATCAGTACAAAGTTTGCATAGAACTTAATAATATTCCAAGCAAACAGAGCACCCTAAACGAATCAACCATTTCTGGCAAAGCAGTTCACCTATTCTAAGCAAAAGCACTAATTTTGAATTAAATTTCAGTTGTTTGATTCAAAGCTATCAGGCTCAAACAAATGCAACGTTTGTTAAAAATATTCTTTTCTCTCAGTTTTACATAAGAATTGGTATGATAAGGTATGATTTGCGCGCTAGATCATTCCAGCATTTTATTCGACCGTTTTTAGGCACGACCTAAACGGTCATTTAAACATTATTTTGTGTAAATACTACAATTCCTTTAATATAGTATGTAATTATTTTATTTACTGTAGGCAGGTTTATTAATGTCCGGTTAAAATTGCAGTTAGTTATCTGGCAGAAAGTTTCCCTAGATATCATTGTTATAACTTATAATGCATTGCGTGCTTTGTTTTTTTATAGGGCAATATCATTAAATTTTGTGAAAAAATAATTGCTTAACATCGACCAATAACTTTCTGTATTCATGGTAACACTTCTTCCGTCCTCATTAAAAAAATAAGGATCGTGGACGGGTAGTAAAATTGAAATTATTTTCTAAACGAACTAACAATTTTAAATTTACGTTCCTGTTAAACATTTTATCTTCAAGGTTCAATTGTATTTGTTAAATGAGACATAAAATGTACCATAATTATAAAAAGTAACAAGTGAGAAAAATCTGACAGATCGAATATTTTTATTGGTACAAGTAGTAAATAATAAATGACCCAACCCGATTGGTCTAAATATTTTTTAAGTGCCTAGGTCATATTAAATTACTTTATTAACGAGTGTTGAGAACAATATTTTTTTAAACATATTTTTTAAGCATATCTTTATCTTTTAAAACATATATTTTTTACAAATAAAAGCTGATATGGTTGTAACAACAGCTTGCACCATTTCAACTAATTTTAATTTAAAAATAAAATTATTTGTGTTTTTGGCATTGTTCTACTTTCCTATTGTTGTTTTCATGAAACACTTTTTGTTCGTATAAATATGTTTTGTAATCCTGAAAAATTTAAAATACGCTATACAATTTCCTTTGGTATGTAACTAAAATTTCTTATATTTTTATTAATATTCCTCTTTACTTACAGATTGTCTGTTATAGTATACT